CTCTCTCTCTCTCTCTCTCTCTCTCTCTCTCTCTCTCTCTCTCTCTCTCTCTCTCTCTCTCTCTCTCTCTCTCTCTCTCTCTCTCTCTCAATAAAATAAGTTTTAATAAACTTGAAGTCATTATTAATATTTAATTTTATTATTTTTGGTATTAAATTAATTACATTTAAATATCTCTTCTCTTTCCTAATAAAATCAAACGTTAAATAATATAAAATATTTAACTTTTTGCGAAACAATATGTTATCGACTGAATTGACAGCTCTTTGTAATTAGATCTAAAGGTCTAATCAATTGGTATTCAAATTGATATATTGATAGCAGAAGTGGTGAGTCGAGAGACGGCCGCGTAATCTAAGGCATAGAACCCGTGATTATCGGGAATATCACGTTCGGCGCCGGACTCGACCAGGAGTTCGACACAAGGGTTGTCCTCCTGGTCTCGAGCAGAGGCGTAGTGCAGAGGTGTCCAGCCATTGATGTCGCGCTCGTTTATATCAAACTTGTGTTTAAAACTCTTGAGCAAAAAGTCGAGACATTCAGAGGTGTGAGCGTTGGAGGCGTAGTGAAGAAGCGAGCGATTGAAGGCATCGATAAGTCTTTCGGGCAAAGGTGTCAAGAGTTGCAAACATTCAATGTTACCGGAATATGCGGCCATGAAGTGAGCCGTTCGGCCACAAGTATCACATATTTGGGAGTTTGCGTTCGCGTCTAACAAACGCTTTGAGGCACTGGAGAAGCCGGCGAACGACGAGTAGTGCAAACAACTCATGCCATTCGTGTCGATTAGATTCACATCCGCTTTGGCTATAGTGATCAGTGCGTCCATCACTGGTGTGTGTCCTGACAGCGACGCGTAGTGCAGAGGCGACGCCAAACACTTGTCCGCTATTCTGCAGTCAGCCCCACATCGGATCAGATCAGCGATTCTGTTATGGCGACCGTATTTGGCCGCGAAATGGAGTGCAGTTCTGCCGAATTTGTCCCTTGAATTCACATCAATTGAGTCCTTGTGTGTGAGCAACACATCTAAAGCACTCGTACCTAATGAAGAACCGGCCGCTAAATGAAGAGGTGTTATGCCGTTGTGGTTAACACAACCAAAGTCGGCGCCCCTTAGGATCAGCTCATCGAGTATGTCGTCCTGTCCGTGAAGGGCAGCCCAATGGACGGCAGTGTTTCCGAAGGCATCGATTGCATCAATTTTGGCTCCGAAGTCGAGCAGTAAATGCAAAGCATTGAGAGATCCCTTTGCGGCCGCCATATGCAGAGGTGTCATCATATCCTTGTCGTGAACGTCCACTTCGGCGCCTCCCGTCTCCACCAGAAAGCGAATGGCGTCCGTATTGTCCACAGCGGCCGCGTAATGGATGGGTCGTCGGTCGCAATTGTCGAAGTGATTGGCCTGAGCTCTGTTTGACAGCAAGAATGACGTCAAATCCAAGTGCGAGTTAAACACCGCGTGATGTAAGGGAGAGGCGCCCACTCTATCGGTGCATCACAAGACACACAATCAGTTAATATAGACCACAATGAGTGACATGAGTGGACACAAACCTGTCGGAGGCGTCGATTGAGTTGATGTGTGGCAACAAGACTCGGGCGCACTCGAGGCCGTTGTTGGCGGCGCAGACGTGCATAGGAGTGATCCACTGGCGGTCGCGAGTGTTGGCGTCGGCGCCGTTGGCCAACAAGAGTGAGACCATGTGTTCGTGATTATTACGACACGCCCTGTGGACAGGACTGACCCAATTGTTGTCGCGAGCGTTCACTCGGGCGCCGCCACTCAGGAGCAGTTCGGCCACAGCTGTGTAGCCGAGGGCTGCGGCCAAATGAAGTGGTGTTCTTCGCTCGACATCGCATTTGTCGATCTCTTCCTTGTCCTCCAGAAGACGACTCACCACATGCTTGTCGTTACGAAGAATACCTTTGATTAGCTTCGGCTTCAATACCGCCGAACAAATACAAGTGTTAGATATCGTGTCATTGGCTTCGACTCCGTGTGTCTCATACCTGATCCCTAAGAGTCAAGAGATTGATCCGTCGGTTGATTCCCATATCTCGACAAACAATCGCTAAATCAATGGATTTTTCGGTTCAAAAATAGTGTAATAAATGAGAACTCAATGAAAATATTGTCATAATTTTGTCGTTCACTTCAAATCCAAAATCAATAATAAATTAAATGATTAAACGTTTAAATAATTAATAAATTAATTAAAAAATAAAACACTTTTTCGACTAAAACTGAGAAATCATTTCCTTTTTCATTGCATTTCATTGGCTTTCATTTGAAACGCGTTTTCATTTCGCTTAACATTTCATTTCATATATCCTTTCAATCAATAGATGCCGTCATTTGACACCTCTTTTGCTGTACTTTCCATACTTTACACTCTTTTACACAATATTACGGTTAACTTCACAGCAATACTACAGTAATACTCACTATTCATAACCGGTCGGTAATCAACCCCTCATTTCCCGATTCACTCCTATATTTGCCGCAATTGTCGGCAATTTCTCTGCTATTAATACTGTATTAATGAATACTAAACAATACTCTGTCTCTACACTGGAAATGCCTTTTTAATAAAGTCTCTCTCCATTGGCAAAGATTTCATACAAATATTGCGAATATTATACATGTATAATAAATATATTTGACAAACAACTAAATTAACTCAAATTAATGATTACGGTATTTACATTAATATAAGGAATATTAGTATTAATTTACAAACAAACAATTTTGTTATGGGAAAGTTGGATAGTATTACTAAATAACAACATTTATGGTTATATTTCATATTCGCTTATCATTCGCTATATTCTGTAATTCAATTCATTTAATAAAAGAGTTTGTCATTAATAGGGTTGTTAAAAAGTGTCATATGACAAGTTATCTTACGTCATATGACATGAAAAAGTGTAGTATCAAAATTCTACCTGCCCACTAATAAACCATTGTCTGCTATCTACTTTACAGTATTTATGCCGAATAAGTTTACCTTTTAGAAATTTAATGTGCAGAGTATTTAGGAGAGCTTTATTTGTATTGTCAGTTTGTCCCAATGGACATCGGGTTTGGGCATTCGATACTTTTATTAGGAAATATTCAATTCTATATTACACATACATATCACATAATTTATAACCTAGTCATTAAATAATTATTAATCAATTCTTTCTTATTAATTGTTGATTCAAATACTGGAAATATGTGAGAATATATGCATTTGATTGCCTCTTATAGTGTACTAAATATGATGTTAACTCTAAAGTAATTTATTTAAGAAAGCATTTACGAGTTTCATGAATATTGTGCTAAAAACAACTCACAATAAATTAATACATACTTTAAATGTTAATTTTGAGAATAGATTTCGACATTATTTCTCTCTTGAATTATACAGTAATTGAATTTAAGTCATAATAAGTGGTCGTAATAATAGTGTTCAACAAAAATATTCACTGCATTTAGTGTTTAACTAAGACATGAATTAATTGAGAAGAATGTTAGGAATTATATGTTCAATATTATATTCAATGTATTCAATGGCATAGATATGTAAAGACATGATAACTATTGAGAATATCGTGCCTTTAGTTTATGGTTAACATCGTTTCATTTGACGCTCACTTGAATTAAATATTAATTTAGAAATTATTCCCATAATATATAGCATTTTGTAGTTTTAGTTTTTGATTTCAATTAAATACAGATAAGTGTCGAACCAGTGATTGGCAAAAGGTTTATAGTAAACGTTATCTAATGAAACCTAAATTAAAAATAAAATTTAGATTTGATTACTATTTGTATAACTATAGACATTCATATTATATGTGAAGTTATGTATAAAAATAGTTTGTGTTTTTGTCCGAAATTACTTCTGGGCTATAATTGAAGGTCAGGTCATGAAAGACATTAGATTTTCAATTCTCACAAACTAATGATAAAGGTTTTTGCATTTACATAATATTTAAATTATTGAATTAAACCATTGCTCTTAATTTATAAAACTTTAAATATTTATAAATATGTTTTATCTCACATTAAATTGTTTGTTAATTTATTTACTTTATATTCAATACGAGTATAACATAAGTTATGTTGCATATGATTGAATATCTGTTTTTGATTTATATCTATAAATTGTGAATAAATTCATATTTACTTTTCATATAAATCAATGGAAATATAGACTTTATATCGAAAATCAATCACATGGTTAGACCTGTTGTATCACAACTATATTTATCAACAATTTAAATCTCAATGAGGTTTTAGCCCTCATTTCGCACAACAAAATCTAAAACAAGTCCAAACTTTTTTTGTGAGATAATCCTATTTTAGATTCTTTACATCTTTTTATATTTTATTTCTTAACTCTTTGAAAATTGGATTTTAATTACAATTAAAAATATCAAAAGTATTGGATATATAAGTTAGTACGACATGTAATTCACTAAGAAATGAGACCAACGATTATCAGAGTATCCATTAAAAGTAATCATATTTCGATTAATTATTAAATTCAGTTTTTTTGGTTAATTAGTTTATAAATCTCTTAATGGAGTTTAGATTTTAATCAATACTAAAACAAAACAAAAATTATTCAATTATTTTATTTTCACTTAAATAGAAGTGATACTATTTTAATTTGGGTTATTATATCCATCGGATTAATAGCCAATTAACATGCATTTATAATACGTTAATATTATTGTTATTTAAAATGGACACAAAATGTTGCTAAATTTATATGCATGAGATATCGGTTTTTATTATTTTTATTATTATTTTAATAGAAATTCTATTATCAAGTAATAAATATAATTTCTAGACATTTTATATACAATGACTCTGTATTTATCTATTAAAGAATATTAACGAAATAATAAATTGCATAGTACTGTACGTTTAATGAATAGTGTATTATTTATACATTAAAATATTGATATCAGAGTTTTATTTCATGTTTTATTTGTGGTATTAATTAACAAAAATACTTTTTTAGGCCAATTATAAAAAGTTAATCATAAAGTTAGAGCGCAAAGATAATCTCGATGACCCCCACTATACCCCATAACCAAACACTTTTATACCATATTTTTAAGTTTATTCTGTATATGAATTACATTTCTCTGTAAGGAAAGTCACGTCAAGTAAAACTATAATTATTATCAATAATTACTAGTTTTAATAAAATTAATTTTAATTTTGAAAACTTTTCGTTACTGGTCCTCATTATTAACCACTTTTATAGGAGCACTGAATCCACATTTTATAATACAATCGCTTATGGCGTAAATGTGTTATCATTTCGGAAATCTTCTTATATTTACAGTAAGTCTGGAGTTGTGTTATGTGTTTATTCTCATCGATAGGATTGTATTAATTTTATTTAAAGTGTTTGTTATTTATGAAATGGTTGTGACATAA